AAGAGTGCGTCAAAGCCCTCCAGAACCACGCTGACGTCAGCCAATTCAGTCTCCCTCCAGACTTGCTCAGAGCATCGATTAATGATGAGTATGCGCAATTCGCCTTGCTGGAACCAGCCATGTACCGTCCTGACACATTTATCTCTCCCCCCTCACGTTGTTGTCTGGATGTGCAAACCCGCAGGCATCTTGTCTCTCAGTAAGTATTCCCGTGCCACAAGACTGTGGCTAATCAACGTTCACCTATTCTTATCTCATGAAATGATCTTCGGAGACCTTTTCCGGTTCTGTATTTCTATTTGATTTTTTACACTTGTTTTATGCTGGTTTAGTTTATCGCTGGGGGCAATTTGTTGGTCTTTGGAAAATGCCTGTTTGTGTATACAGTAAATTTAATGGTGAAAATGCAGTGAACGTGTTCTATGCTGCTTTTTCGCGAGCGCCTCACTGTTTCAACCATTCATGTTCTTTCAATATTTTTATGTATTTTTGCACAAAAAAGCAACCTGTAGCCATTTTTGCATATTCAATGCATTTTATGCATTCCTGTACCGTTTCAATAGAGTTTTAAGAGCTTCTGACTAACTGATTTTCTCAACCGGACGGATTCCATTCCGTCTCATTTCATGGACAAATATCAGTTCAAGTTATGACCTAATTGTTTAAGGAATCGACGTCAGTCACTCTTCCGTCAGTTGATGGGGTCAAATCCTACGGTTCCGCTAGCTATTTAAAGAAATTGCTGTACTCTACTCCCAGCTTCTATTTTGTTTGTTAGTGCATGTAAAGTGAGCATTTATCAACCAGGTTCAGTGTGCCGTATGATTTGTTTATCTGTCTTGCGTTTAACCACTTCCTTAATTTTACTTGAGTCCCGTGTTGGTTTTTAGATACTACTCTTTGGATGATTCAGTGCTTCGTGAGCTCACAGGCAGCAAACTGTCGACACGTTTTCGTCGCGATCTAACCGAAGTGGCTGAACGATCAGGCGTTCGCCTGAACAGCTGCCGTCGACAGTATGAAAATCTCCGTCGAGTTGCACGCTTGGCCGAGGACAGTCCCGGCAAGCTGACGGACATAATCAAAAAGTACTTTGTTCTCCCACAGGCGCTAGCTGAGGCCTACACCGCGATGATTTTCATCTCTGCTAATCGGTAAATTACATGCAAATTGTGCTTTTTTACGTTTATCTTTTCTATTTTATACGTATCTATGGCATACTATTGAAATTCATAAAGATATCGCGGTTAATGGTCTTTATCAAAGAAGACGCTTGCGCCCTTCCTAATGTTATGAATAATTTACCTCCAATATTTAAATTCACACTGTGAAAAGGACAGTCTAACAAGCTACCCTTCCTAAACGTCCTGGTGTTTAGGGTGCTCGGTTTTCCACAAAAAATACCTGGAAAGGACAATACTTACATTTTACCAGTTTTCTGCCTATACCATGGAAACGAAATCTGGCAATACTATTTTTCAGAGAGCAGGGAATATTTTATCTAGTGAAACACTAGCTGCGGAAACTTCCCACATCAAAGCAGCCCTACTTAACCGTGACTATTCTGCACGCTTCATTCAAAAGTAGAGCAATTCTTTGCGGCCAAAATTGGCGGAAGGGTTCGTTCCGAAAAAGTCTGTTGTTATATCCTTACCATTTAACGGTAATAATATTTCAAGTGACGGTTGCGCTGCACCGTATAGAGGACGTATAACGAAGGCGAATTCGTCTTTCTCAGTCCTACTAAAAGCCTTCCAATAAACCGGGCAATGGATGTCCCAAATTGTGTGTATGAATTCACGTACACTTGTGGATGCATGTAAAGGAAAATTATGCTGAGGCATCTAATAGCCAAGGCCGCTGAGCATTTGCCTAACAGGCTTTTCAAACAAGAAAAGACCATCCCACGGTCCTCGATTATTAAACATCTGCTAGACAGTGGTCACTTTGTCGGCCTCAAAACAGTTTTCCGAGTACTTGCTCGGGTACGAACAAATCGGACCCTGCACTACTTGGAAGCAGCCTAGATAGGGCGGAAGAAACCAGACCTACGCAAGCAGTTAGGCCATGTAATCTATCTCCAATTGCCC